CTACCATCTTATGGGTGGAAAGAGTTTCACACCTCAGCGGAGTGTGGTCTTATGCCTCCATCAGGACCACAGTGCAGTTGAGAGATATTTACTGGGAAATATGAAAGAAATAAAATGAAACCATTTTAGGTATATACCCCTAATGAGTGGAGACACCTCACTGTCCCTATTAATCTTAAAAACACCCTGTATGGTAACTAGTCTTATTATTCCTATTTTATAAATGAGGGAAATGAAGATCAGAGAAGCCAGTGATGTGTCCGAGGTCACACAGCAGGTAAATAAATGACAGAGCCATGATTTGAACCCAGGTCTGCTTGACTCTAAAACCTATGTTCCTTGCTCTACATCTGGCTTCCTTCTACATGTGTGTCAGGGAGGGAGGAGAGACATCACCATGTAGTAGTGAGATCCCAGTGGAGACTCCAGGGTGTCCAATATAAGTGCTAGGTCCCTGTATTCTTCCCACTTGGTGACCTTCCCTCCATCCTCCACACTTTAGCTATCAGGGCCTTGGTTCCTCAGAATGACCCTTCAGAGGTTCTGGTTCATTTCTTGCTCTAAGAGTCTATCGATATTCTTCTTGTCACTTTACGTTGGAACCCTGCAACCTACTCTGACCACACGCCCAAACACAAAGCTGCCTCCTCGTCTAGGGCTCCACAGCTGTCTCCATCCCTCCTTCCTCGTGGGAAGACTCCAGCCCCACTACTCGGCCCCTCAGTGGGTGTGGTCCCACTGCGGGAAACTGGACCTTGCCCTGAGATCCGACATAGATGCTTCCCAGTAAGCTTCTGCCTCAGTATGAGGGCATAACTCAGTATAAGCTGGTCAGCTAAAAGCAATCATATGCTACTCAGTTTATGTACAGGACAAAACCTCTTCTTTAATGATAGAAAACAATCATCTCAAACAGATGGTTACTGTAGCCCTAGCAGGGAAAGAAATCTCCACCCTAGCTTCTCGCTAAGTACTTGCTGCATGGGTTGTGACCTACTAAGGTACGTACAGGAATTCCCTTCATGTCAAAACTAAAATTCCTTCCTTAAGAGCATTCATGTAATGGATAACAGCAAACATTCAGCATTCATTTATGAAGATTTTAAACCAGGAGCAACACCATCCTCTAATCCAGTCCAGTTTCACAGGTGCTGCTAAAGCAATGCTAAAAGATTGCCTCCTCAGGATTCACTAGGCCTGAGGATTTTCTGTGTTGAAAGGTGGGTGTTAGGAAATGCAATGAAACCTTGTTAGGTTGATATGAATTTGCAAAAATGGTATAGCCGCTATTTATCATCTCTTTTTCTTTGATGAAAATATTGGCCAATCCAAATCCTCTGAAGTGCTCTGTTTTCTCCAGCTCCTTGCATTTTAAATTAACAAGGTGGTTTTATTAAATGATGCTGATTTCTAGCTAGTTGGGTCACCTTAGAACATGGCCTCATTCCAAAACATGTAAAAATAGAAGGAATGCAAATGGGGTCAGCACTCAGGTATGTACAGTCCAGGACTCTGCTATTGATGGGAACCAAGAGATGGGTGATAGCAAAGGATATGTCCCTCTTTGGTACCAGCCTCCGAAAGATGGGGATTCCCCAGATTTCTTGAGATTCCTTTAGTACTCTACCTAGCACCCAGGAATTCATGCCAATATTTTTAAGAAGTTGAGCTTCAACTATTAGGTAGCAAAATTGACCAGAATTATGTCTGCTTCTACTCTCCTGGGGATTAACTGCCTCACCTGGACGTCTGGCTTCTGGATACTCACTTTTGGTGACCTTTCTGTCTTTGACATATGTCTTAGTCAGTCCGGCATGCTGTAACAAACTCAAAGACTGGATGACTTAAGCAACAAACATTTATTTCTCATGGTTCTGGAGGCTCAAGATCAGAGTGCTGGCATGACCAAGTTCTTGGTGAGGGCTGTCCCCCTCCTTATATCCTCCCATGGCCTTTTCTTGGTCCTGGTTGAGGGAGCTGGGGAATCTCCAGTCTCTTCCTCTTTTTATAAGGGCATTACCCTGATGACCTAATCTAACCCTAATTACCTCCCAAAGGCCCCACCTCCAAATACTATCACACTGAGGGTTAAGGCTTCAACATATGAATTTGAGGGGGGAGGACACAATTCAGACGATAACACAGACCATTATCGTAATTACTTCAATCTTGCCTGGGTCAGTTAAATGTCATCATTGGCTTCTGCCATCGCGAAATCCTATCATCTCCATTGATACCGGGGCACCCAGTTCCACCACAGCATCTCCTATTGTCAATCCTGTCTACAGAAGACAACCACATTAAACCCTGAGTCACGGGAAAGTGGTCCTATGTCAGTGGGTTCTCCCCTTCCGCCCTTGTATTTATCCCTTGACACCCCTAACTATCCAAGCATCTTAACTAAGGCAAGGGCAGTCCCGGTCTCAACCCTAGGCCCAATGCTGCCCATTCTCTGTTACACTCAGTGAATAAGAATTTATGGAAAATTCTAGGGCCTCTCAGGGATCCTCAAAGAGGAAACCATGGGCCCCTAAGAACTTGGAGTGGGGGTGGGTGGCCCTTGACAACATGATGAGGTAAGACATGTCTAGGAGGAGGCTTTGCTGCCTGGCTGGATTCAGCGGCTGCTGGCCTGGACCAGAGCTCCTTACCTTCCCTGTATTCTGCTCCTTTTCGTCCCCTTGGGGGTTGCACCACCGTCCCCCACTCACCCCGTGTGCTCTTCGTGCCCACCCTCTTACTGATGCCCTGCAGACAGTCACCAAATCCGTTTTGCCCCGGACTCCCACTTCAGTGGGTCCTCGTTCCTCCGACCCCAAGGCCGCCGCCCCAACTCCAATCGCCTGCCCTCTTCAGCCCTCTGATGGCAGAGGCCCTGCCTCGAGGGCCCTGCTGATCCCAGAAACTATTTTCCTCTTCCTGCTGTTGCTGTTTCTCTGTCTTACGGCAGCAGAGAGCATATTGTCCTCATATGGTCAAAGGTAGCAGAGTTCCGCAAGATTGCTCCCCTAGGACACAGCCATTTGTCCTAGCAAAGGTCTTGGGAATATTGAAAGTTCTGCCTTTGGATTAAAGCCTGCACTAGTATCTGCTCTTCTATCTGAGTGGACCACATTCCTCCCTCAGACTGAGGGCCATTACTGAATAAACCAGCAGGGGGCAAAGATGCTCTAGTAAATTCTAATTGCCTCATTACAAAAGTGGGGAACATTTGGAAAATACAGATAAACCAATAGTAGAAAACAAAAATCATCTGATATCCTGTACATCAGATAATCCCTCAGAACATCATGGCATTTTGTTTACATTATTTTTTCCCTCTACCTAAATGTAAATACATTTTAAATGTTGTATTTCTCTACATACTATCTTGTTTCTACTTTGTAACAAAATCTTGTAAAGATCTTTCCAAGGTGTTATTTATTCTTCTATGGCATTATTTTCTAATGTTTAAATACTGCAAAACACATGGACAGTATACTTCATTGTGGTTTAACTTCTGTGCATACAGTAGGGGAGGAGCAATAATTTTCCCTCTACCCGTCTAGGTTCTTGGCTGAGACCTCCCCCGCCCAACCCCGTAATAAAAGACAGATACACAGGAGTAAAACACGTTCAACAACATGGATACCTCCTGTGTACAGGGGAGAGACCCAGGAAAACTGAGTAACTCCCCCAAACGGCCCAAGCTATCACGTTAAATACCATCTCCAGCTAAAGACAAAAGGAGATGTTAGGGGGTCGGGGGTAGTTATGGGAAGTGACCAGGAAAAGCACAGTAAACAAGGGTAAGGTTGTGATGCAGATTTACATCTGCTTTCTCCATTGATAAGAGTTCCTGGGGATAAGGTCATCCCCGCCCCCCTCACCACACCCCCTTCCTGGTACAGAGCTGGAGACACCCTTACAAATGGAGACTTCCCTTAGAAGTGTAAATGTATCTTTTTTTTTTTTTTTTTTTTTTTTTTTTTTTTGACCACTATCTTTATTCCATGTACAGTATTCATTAAAATGCTATTAGGAAATCAGGATGTAATCCTTCTATGTTTTTTGTTTTTGTGGTACGCGGGCCTCTCACTGTTGTGACCTCTCCCGTTGCGGAGCACAGACGCGCAGTCTCAGCGGCCATGGCTCACGGGCCCAGCCGCTCCGCGACATGTGGGATCCTCCCGGACCGGGGCACGAACCCGTGTCCCCTGCATCGGCAGGCGGACTCCCAACCACTGCGCCACCTGGGAAGCCCGTAAATGTATCTTATAAAAGAATAACTCCTACTTGGTTTTCAGAGCTTCTCCTCTGTGCACCTTCTCAGAAATAATCAGCCCCAAATGCTCAGTAGGCCAAAGAGGCGTATTTTGGGGTGGCAAGCTCTGCTCCCCTTCAATACCATTGATAAGCCCTTTAGTTTAGGGGCTCAGTGACCAGAAGAGGAATTGCTGGCTCAAAGGCAATGTAATCCTTTTAGGTTTTGGACACGTATTGCCAAGTTGCTTTCCAGAAAGACAACTCCGCTGTCTCTGGAAGTGTGAGAGAATGCTGCTTTGGACTTGTCATCTGCAACACTGTTCCTATCTTTTGAAGTCTTTGCCAACTTGACAGGCAACATATTACTTCAGAGTTATTTTATATTGTACCTCTTCAAAAATCCAATGTAAAAGAAATATTTACTGAGCGTTGATTCATTGTCATATTCTGTACATTAGGAGCCCAGGAGGGAGTAAGACAGATACCATTCCACTCTCCCTAGTCTCATGTTCTAGGGAGACGGGGCATGCCAGAAACAAAGTAAACTAATAAACTAGCAGTTCTGGTTTGGATGACGTGTT